ACAGAATCAGATTGAACAATTATAGCTGCTATATGGTACTTAAGTAGAATGATATTAAATGAAGTAGCAAAAAGTTGCAGTGGAAATTGGAAACTACCTGTGTAGCCACTCAAATGTACAGTTTCGTTTCTGATAGTGAGTGTATGTCAACTATGTTTGTTCAACCTTATTACTAAGACACAAGTGGACAAAGCTAACAATGAATGTAGCCAGATAGATACAAATAACACTAAAAATAATTATCATTGCCCCCATCATGCTATATGTGTAAGTGTTCAACAAAATTTCATTCACTTAACATTAGTGATTTTTGGGATAATATCAATGTCAGTGTGGTATGCAAGCAGCTAGGATATTTTCCTAGCTATGATAACAGTATCATATTTCAAGTATATCTTTATGCTTTGTATTATACAGGTGATTTCAGTTCTAGTGCAAAATCACATTCTATCATTGACTTGAACTGTACAGGAAATGAAACCACTACTTAACATCATGCAGTCAAAAAATTCTTGAAAAAGCAATCAAAAACTTTAAAAGCAAAAATATTGTGCTGACTAAAATAAAGACAAAAGAGAAAGCAAAACATTATTAGTTAACTTATTTCTAAGAAAATGTGCAGCGGATCTAAAACAATCAAAGAAAGAGGCCTACAACTAGTCATATTAAAGCACACACACAAAAGTCAAAGACAAGCTCCCCACATCTATATAAAGAGGAAGAAACAGAGCAAAGCAACCATCATAAGTATCATTGAGCCCAGAACACTGGTACCTAATAAAAAATATATCAAATTTCACTTAGTTAGTTACACTCCCTTACCAGTAGAGGGAGTTGTTGGAATGCTCTCAGTAGTATCACCAAAAGTAGTGTTCAATACAAATGCATTGTTATCATTCAATCCAACAATAGACAAGTACACATTAGCATCATTAGTATGGCGTCCATCATCATCATCATCAGTAGTTGACTGTATATATAATTCTGGACTAATGAAATAATCAATGTCATTTCCATTGCTCATAACAAAGAAATCTTGTGTGAGTTCATTTGGATTTTGTACACTAAATGATCCACGAGCCACCAAATTTCCCAATTTAATATCAATTTTTAGTGTCATTCCCATTGATGGAAACTCATACTGTAACAAACGAGATGAACCTTTCGGAAGGGTAGTAGCAATCTCCATTCCAGTCTCCAATATGGTTGGAGCTATAAATCAAATCAGTAATAATTTACTTTATTGAAATTGGCTTACTTGAACATGTTGATACTTGTAACTGTCTCAACACACCCCCAAAATCACTAGATGAGAAACCACTGACATTAAAAACATTACCTTGGCCACTAGAAGCAATGGCAACTAGCTCCTCATAGCTTATACCATCCCCAATACCAAAAGAATAAACTTAAATCCCATCATCATGGACAGCTTGAGCAGCTTGTACAGTTGCTGAACCATTAGTAGACTGTCCATCAGTAAGAACAGCAACTACACGAGGGATGCCTTCACTAACACGAGCAGTAGCAAATGCTGTAGTCAATAGATCTAATGCTAAGTTAGTATAAGTATATCCTGCAGTGTATGGTATGCTTCTGACAGCAGTA